GGAGACAAAATGCAAAAGAGTAAAGATTCAAGTGAGATTCCTTTGAAAAATACAAGGAATGAACAGCCCAAAAAGTATGAACCATTATGTAAAGAGCGTTAATTAAATGAAACAATAAATTCCATGTTGAGGTGACGGGGAAGTTCCATCTGACAGCTCATTTTCACCTTTATGGGTACCGAGTGCCCCCTGCAGCCCAGCTCCCACCCTGAAGGGAGGTTTCTGTCTGAGCTCTGCGAGTGAGCTGGAGTCATTGTGAGCCACTCAGAAAAGTAGTTGATTGTACTTCTTCAAATGGGAATTTAAACAATCAACTCCTCATCTTAGCCAGTCTATTTTTGTAACTGTGGATGACCCTTGGGAATGCAGTCACCATTTCCTTCATAATGAGAGTTGACTGTGCCATGAAGGTAACAGGAAGATGGGTAAATTTAAAGTCTGGGTACATAAACCGTTGGATTATCAAATCCTGGAGCCAATCACATTCTGTCATCTTGCTTAATTAGTTGTGAATTTGTTTCCGGTTGTTTAGTTCCAGTTCCCATAACTCACTTTCTGATAAAATAGTCACATACTATTGAGATATTAAAATGAAAAAAAATCACTAATTTCTAAATGAACCTAACTTTCAGGAGAGATGAAAATTCCTTGTGGTGAAGAGTGTGAAGGGTGGAGACATGGTTGAATACTGAGGTTGTATTCACAATTGTATTATTTTAATAAGGGAACTTCTGTACATCTCTTATATTTATTAGAAACTGCCATTGAGAACCTTGATGTAACGTAATTAATTGATGGGTCACACAAAAGCAATGAAGCTGAAGGTTATTGAGCAGGAATTGCTATTACAACTTTAGCTTTCCTTTAGAACACATTCCTCTACCTGATATGAAATTCGCCCAGGTGCACTGATGAGCGTTTTACAGTTAACCAAAGACCAGAAAATGGGCTCTTGTGTACGTGGAGCAGGGCATGGCTTTGGGATGCTTTGCAAACAAAGTGGCTTCTCACGTCTTCTGGAAAACCCATCAAAATGGGCAAGTTAGGGATCTCTTAGGAGCTCCCGTCTATACCACATTCATGGCTAATATAACAGTGGAAGTTGATGCAAAATGAGATCATATGGAAGATAAACTGCTGCACCACTGCCTCAGCTCAGCACAGCTACCTCTTCCCTCAGGGCTTCTGACTCTCTCAGGATGTGGGTTTCCACACTGTGTCTCTCATACAGTAATGCACGGCCGTGTCCTCAGCCTTTAGGCTGCTGATCTGCAGATACGCCGTGCTGACAGAGGTGTCTATGGAGAAGACAAATCATCCTGTTTAGCCCTGGGCATACATTGGGTTCCCAGTGTTGATGTTCATCCACCCATTCACTCAAGCCCTTCTCCAGGGACCTGTCTCGCCCAATTCATACCATAGGTGGTAAAGTTGTAACCAGAAGCCTTGCAGAAGACCTTCACTGAGGCCACAGGCTGCTTCACCTCAGGCCCAAACTGCACCAGCTGCACCTGGGAGTGGGCACCGGTGGAGAGGACACAGGATTGTGGGAAGTCTCACTTGACTGGCCTGGTTTCTCTGTCAGCCCTGGGACTGGGGAGCCCCTTAACTTTTGCTGCTAACGCCAAGAAGAGGATCCTGTGGGTCCTGTCCATGGTAGGGTGTGGTCACGAGGAGGGGTGTGGTTGTTGGGTGATGCTCTCAGGGCACAGAGTTATCTATATTAGCCTCAGTGATTTGCATATTCTTGAAGGATGCTATTTAATAGCCCAATTTCTGACCCAGTATGAGAAAGAGCAAATACACGACACATGGACGACACAGTTGTAGAAGCTGAGGGTTCAAACCGTAATCCTGTTGGAGGCCATGTGTCCCCTACACATCCCTGAACTCTATGTTGACAGAGCTTCCCCCACTGGAGAACAAGCTCCCCCAGGACATGCACCTCACTTTGAATCCACATTTGAATGAATGAGGGACAACTTGAACCATTTCTAGCACTTAATATGTGAATGCGTTATTTTGGGAATGACTGTGTTTGTCCAAAAATTGCACTGATTCAAAAGAAAGGAGCTCTTCCTGACCTCCAGCTGCTTACTATTAAGAAAACTGGCAGAGTTTGAAATCCCCATTGTGAAAGTAGTTCTCATTACAACATCCAGTTTGATAAATGCTCACAATTGAATGGAATATTTATA